CAGCCACAATTTGCTCCTGAACAAAATTAGGTTATCGAGAGATAGTATCCGTGGGAGTAATTGGTAGTTCCCTTCAGTGGGTCAGTCTATGGCTCGCAGCTCACCTTGCCTACAGCAAGTGTCATTACTTACCCAGGTTGTATCGTAATGGCAAGTGTGACTTCTTCCTTTGGGAAGTGCCAGAACCAAACAAGAAATCACCTGCTCCTGAAAGAAGCAAGTGGACAAGCTAGCTGGAAAAGACAGGGAAATCCCTAGTACGCATGTGATTTTATCTTATCCAGGAGACCAAGGCAGCACATTTGGCATGTTCTCCCATTCTTCTCACAACAGTTACTATTGTGGGACTATAACCAAATCAAGGTACTTATATCTGATTCAAATCCAGCACTTTATTACTTACCATAAAAGAAAAGTAGAGGAGAAAAATAATTTGGATCAGTTCAAAATTTAGTCCTCAAAGCCTAACAGATCTATCTAAGGTCTATCTATCTAAGATCGGCTAGAATGCAAATCACTCATTGGTCTGATGAAACAGTGGCAGTAACTAATGTCTAACGTTGACCCCATTTCCCCAAAGAAGATGCCAAACTCGCCGCCCTAGACAAAGAACTGTGATATCCATTAATAATAATAATAATAATAATAATAATAATGATGCTGATGATAAAGTTGGAAGGGACCTTAGAGGTCATCTAGTCCAACCCCCTGCTCAGGCAGGAAACCCTATACCATTTCGGACAAATGGCTGTCCAGTCTCTTCTTAAAAACTTCCAGTGTTGGCGCATTCACCACTTCTGGAGGCCGGTTGTTCCATTGGTTAATTGTTCTGTCAGGAAGTTTCTCCTTAGTTCTAGGTTGCTTCTCTCCTTGATTAGTTTCCATCCGTTGTTTCTTGTCCTGCCCTCAGGTGCTTTGGAGAATAGCTTGACTCCCTCTTCTTTGTGGCAGCCCCTGAGATATTGGAACACTGCTATCATGTCCCCCCTCGTCCTTCTCAATACTATCTGATGGGCACAAAAAATGCCATTATGCGATGGGCACATTAGGAAAAAAAAGTATGAAATAAAAGTGGATCGCACACATTTTATTGCATGACTTTGTTCTCCTTATAACGCTTATGGTTCGTGAGAGCTGATGCTGAGCAGTCTGTCTCTGCTGATATAATCTCAACCTTCTTTCCCTTGTCTTTTCATAAGCCATAGACCAATACTTTGAATCTGAGCCTTGGTTCACCTTCTGATGTTTAGATATAACGAGTACAACAGCACAGAAAAGCTTGCACAGAGAACCCTCGAAGAACTGCAGTCACAGATTTCCATGTGTCTGCATTATTTTATTTACACACTCTTGCCCTGCTACTGGTACCAGTTTTTATTGTATGAAAGTAAATGTTTCCAATTTTAGAACAGAATTTAAAAACATGTAAGTAAACAGTCACTTGCATCCATCAGTTTTATATTCATTTGGTGTAAGACAGGGGTTTCAAACTCAATTTCATTGAGGGCCGCATCAGCATTGCGGTTGCCCTCGGGGGGGGGCTGGATGGGTGTGGCCAGGATAGGTGTGGCCTACTGGGTGGGCGTGGAGTGGGTGTGGCCTACTGGGTGGGCATGGCCAGCTCTACATCGTTCGCGTCAAGGGTGCCTGTGGGGTGCTGGGCAGGAGTGGGACAGATCTGAGGGCCTCTGGCAGAAGGGGGTGGGACCAGGGCAAGCGCCAAGGCATGGTCCATTTCTTTATTCCTCACAAAGGGTGACACCTCCCCAGCATGCACCCAGGGGGCGGGGCCAACACAGCAGGGGCTGGTTCCTCACTGTTTCTAGACAGCCTTGTGGAGCTAAGACTGAATGCGTTTCAGCATAGATGGCCACCACAAAATTGTACATTGGCTCCCGGCTGGCCTGGGCCAGGGCCAAGGCAGAGGGGGCCGTTCCCTCACTGTTTCCAGGATGGGAACTTCGCGGGCCGCATCCGGCCCCCGGGCCTTTTGTTTGACATGTCTGGCATAAGGATTCTTAACACTGTTTAAATCCAGTGCGGTCTGAAACAAACTTCAGAAACAGAATACTTGCTTCTTTCTCTGTTCCATGACTGGAATTCATTATCTCCCAAGAATTTCAGAATCATTTCAGAGGAAATTTACATGTCCTGTTTTTATTGATTCAGAGCATTCATTTCAGCAACAAAATAGGTATACTAAGTAGTTGTTCATTGGCCAGTTCAGTGTAACATTTCCACACTCTAGTCTCCCTCCTAGGAATGTGCCCTCCATTTCCTCTTCACCAAAGGGAGGCTGATGCAGTTCCCAAGCACAGGTCTGAGACCAACCTGATCAGATCTGACTTAGAGGAGGTAGGTGGAAGGTGGCCAGGGCACTGTGGTACACTTCCCTCACGGCTCTCATCAGCTGCAGCCGGGCAAACATCTGGCTGAATAAATGGGGACGTGGTTCCTGTGGGAGGCAGAAGGACCTTCATGATCAACAAATACAGCTTTCTTGTGTGTGAAGTTGAGGCTGGGAAGAAAAAGGGATGAAATCCTTTCTTGTTCTCTCTTTCCTTTCTTTCTGTGGCTGTGCTTGGAAAAGATACCTTTCACCATCCAGAAATGAGATGGATTCACACAATACACAGCCATCGTTGGGGGAATTTCATCTTTAGTAACCAGTAGAAGAAACTTTTGTGCTATGGGACTTTCCAATGTTATGAGACCTTTGGCCAACAGGAAGGGAAAATGCTATTGGAGAATAAAATTGGCACTGCTGTCATCGCATGAAAGAAAAGGATTCCCACATGTAACAATTTGCTTGTAAAAATGGTAAAGGCAGCTGAAATCTTACCATTGCTTTAAGAAAAGCTTCTAGTTTTCACATAATGTTGTGGGGACAATGTCAAGAACAAATCTAAGCCTTTTGTCCTCAAAATTCTATCAGCTTCATTAGAATGTTTGTAAAATATATTTATCAGTTGTTGTTTGTCTTGAGTATATTACATTTTTAGTAAATCTGGCCGACAGCCTGGGTATTGTTGGGTGGTCTCCCATCTAAATTATGAACCAGCCTGTGGCTGTTTGGATTTTTTTTCCAAGATCAATCCTGTCACCAACTGCCAGACTTAGTACTGGAGGGCTCTTTCTCATAGCCATTAATATTTATTCCTTCAATCTTTGAATCAGCAAAAAAAATGCAGTCATAATTTGCTGTGCCCTGATAAATGAGCTTTGATTGCCTCCAAATAGTAGTAAAAACACATGGCCATACAATATCCCTTTTGATAGAAGAAAAATGTTTAATACACTAACTTGGGACAAAATCAGCAATAAATCTCTATTGGTCAGCATTTCCCCTCCTCTATTTTTTAACATAAAGGTTTACCATTCTTTGAAAAGCCACTCTACACCTGTTGAACAACAGGTCTAGCAGTCTTCCAAAAGACTGGAATACCACCGTATATAAGGAGCTCACTGTATACACGAAGCCCACCAGAATATTGCTTTGCAAAGATCGGATGACCCACATTACACGGGCAAATGCTTCCAGCTGTCTAGTTTTCTCCAGCAGTGAACCTAAAATCTCAATGAAGGACAACATCAGGAGAGGATGTGTCCATAGATACTGAGGAGATGACATCACCCAGATTGTGCATGAAGTCTCATAGACCAGTGGTTCTCAACCTGTGGGTCGGGACCCCATTTGGGGTCGATCGACCATTTCACGGGGGTCGCCAAGCAAGGCTGTCCGCCATTTTTTCCCCTTTTCCGGCGGGTGCCTTACCTCCCTTGGGCTGGGCCAGCTGGTGGTCGGCCTGCTCCGTCTCTGCCGCTTGCCAGCTACGCCTCGGCCGGCGCAGGGGGCGGA